ATATCTGTGAGAGAGCATGGCCCACACCTTCCCAAAGAAAAAGTGTGCAATTAAAGTGCCTCTTTTACATGGGCCCACATGCCTGTCTGGGGCTGGAAAACAACCCAAACTTTCAGCATAACAACCCCCCTCATGCTTCTATAGCCCCAGAGGTATTTAAGAAGCATCATACCATTTCTGAAGCTCCTCTGAATTGCCACCAGGTTGGGGTATTCACGTAGATTGATCTGACTAAACAACATTTCCAGAAATGACAGATTAAATGGCTCCTCCATTTTGGTGAGAATGTTGTATACCACTTTGGATACAGGGACCATATTTCTACAGGCTTCCATAGACTCCTTAAGAAACAGAATGAAGGATTATTATACACAATTATAAAGATAGAGTTTTGTTATATATTTGTGGTTTTCTAAGTTGTAATAGAGCTATTTTGCTCTTTTAAGAAGGAATTTAATGCAAAATGTATAGTCAAACTCTCTAATGTAGAAAAATCACAGTTTTACCTGTTTACTTGGGAACTTCATATATACTTTGATAGTCATAGAAATAAATAATTTAGCCTTCTTTAAAATAAGTCTGTTTTGTAAACCTTATTTTAGGTTTATTTGAGGGAATAGAGAAATCTTAAGAAAGGAAAGTGGAGTCAAAGACTGTTATGGTATAATTCCATTCTCTAAGGCTCTGGGCAGGACGCTTAAGCAATTGACCCAGTGGTCAGTGACTAGTTGTTATTCTGTTGATTTTTGTTAGCCTGTGTTCTCTTTTTGCCTCTTGGACTTGAGATGGCCCAAATAGGTTCTAGCCATAGGGAAATGACCCAGAGAATTCTTCTTGATTAGAGGATGGCTAAGAAGACAAATATGGCAAGAGAGAATTGATTGTAAAATGTTTATGGAGCACCTACTAGTCTAGTCCTTGTGTACAAAGCAATGGAGAAGATTAACATGGTGCTCTCTTATTGGGGGAGGGGCACTGTCAGGCAAAGAAGATAGGCATCCTATATAATAAAAGGCTAATATTCAAATTGTTCCCTTGACTGGGAGTTTGCCTAGGAGTTCGACCAGGGGACAGGGCAGGCTGGCCAAACACCTGCAGCCCCTCCCCTGGCCAGCCCCACCCCCAATCGCCCCCCCCCCACCCTGATAGGGGCAGACTTGCCAGAAACCACCTGTGCACAAATTTGTGTACTGGGCCTCTAGTTAAATAATAAACACAAATTAAATAAATATCCAATTATTGTTGAGAGAAATTTTATTAAGAGAAATCATAGGAAGAATAATGAGGGGGGTCTTAATTAGAAGTAGGTCAAGGAGACATCTCTGAGAAATGACAGCTGGGCTATGATCTAGAGAAGGCTTAGAGCCAACCAGGCCAATACTGGGGGAGAGGGTTCTATCACTGCTAACACTTCCCTAGCTCAGGAATTGCTTTCAACACCCCAAATTATATGAAAAGAATGACATTTTTATACACATAGACATATCCCATTGCCTGCCTTTTTTTCACATTAGAATGGACCATGGGTGCCATGCTCTTAGGAATTAAAATGGTGCCATTAGTAGGATAAATGGTGTCCCCTCCCTCCAAAGATATGTCCACTTGAAACCTGTGACTGTGATCTTGTTTTTTTAAAAAAGGTATTTTCTGATATAATTAAGGATCATTTTGGATTAGGAGGGCCCTAAGTCACAATGACAAGTGTTCTTAGAAGAGAGAGAGAGGAAGGGAGAAGACACACAAACAAATAAAGTGATGTAGAGATGAAAGCAGTGATTAGATGTTTTTATAAGTCAAGAATACCAAACATTGCTGATACCACCAGAAGAAAGTCAGGGAACAGACTCCCTCAGAAACTCTAGAAAAAAATCAACCTTGGCAACACCTTGATTTTCGATTTCTGGCCTCCAGAATTGTGGGAGAATACATTAAAAAAATTTTTTTGATTTAGTGATTTTATTTGGAGAGAGAGAGAGAGAGAGAGAGAGAGAGAGAGAGAGAGAGAGAGAAACATTGACGTGATGTTGAACTTATTTATGTATTCACTGGTTGATTCTTGTATGTTCCCTGACTAGGGATTGAACCCCCAACCTTGGTGTATCAGGACAAGGCTCCAACTAACTGAGTTACTCAGCCAGAGCCATTATTTCTTTTAAGTCACCTGGTTTGAGATCACCCTATGATATCCTTTTTTTCTGCCAATGAACATTTGAGTTCAGGCCTTCTAAACTCTAGAAATCCAGTGTGTGTGTGTGTGTGTGTGTGTGTGTGTGTGTGTGTGTGTGAGGGGGTGGGGGGTGTTGGTTTGGGACTTCAACAATTGGGCTCTTGGTGAGAACTGGGCTGTTAGGTGAATGTGGTCAACATGACTCACCATGTACATTTTCTCAGAGATGAAGGATTTGTCTCGGAGGCCTTCCAAGAAGGGAAATGGCTTGCATATGGCATAGGAGATCTCCAGCTTCTGGAAGATGAAGTGCTGGCGAAGAGTTTCTTTTAAGTCTTGGGTGATGTTGAACATCCTATGGAAGGGGCAGAAGAAAAAAAAAAGGGAAGCAAAGACATTGTGGAGCTTGGGAAGCTGCCCTCTGTGTTTAGTGAGCATTCTGGCCCCAAAGGCATCCCTGAGCAGTCTGCAAAGCAACATCTGCCTCAAAGATTCTGGTTATAGGACAACGCCCAGCAACAATGGAGGCTAAAAGTGACCAGTGACATGACTCTGAAATCCCAAAGGAGCTGCTGGTTAAACATCGGGCAGGTATTGAAAATAGTTAATATTAATTGAGAGCTTCCAGTGTGCCAGATTTTAAGGATTTCCCATGAAGTGACTTATTTGACCTTCACAAAACCTTTGATTACTATGATCGCAGCCATTTTTATTGTCAAGGACACTGAGACATAGAGGGGTTTAATAACTCACCCTAAGTTGTGCAACCTGGACGTGGTACAGGTGAATAAATCCTGACTTTCCGGTTCCTGGCTCCCCTAGTCATAAGCACTATAGTCTGTGGCTACATTGAGCTGAGTTAAGATTTCCTAGACTGCAGCTTAAGGCACACACAAGCCATGCTTATCTAAAAGGGATGGCCCCAAACAGGCAAAAAGATGGAAACAGGATAAATGTTAGATTAGAAACTTTAATAAATCGCCTACAATCTTCAACACACAAATAGGCAAAACATAAATAAAAACACAAAGAATATAAAAGACATAATTAGTAAAGGTGACTTGACTGATTTATGTATCAATTTCATATCTTAGACATGTGCCTTTTCCCATGCCCATGCCACATTTATAAAATTCACCATTTGTAGATCATGAGAAAATAGTAAGTTTAATTGGCAGGAAATTGACAGATGACATTTCCTGACAAATGTCAAGAAGAGGGAGGCATTGACAAAATATTTATTCATCTAGAGATATTTAAAAAACAAAATGAACAGAGATCCCATTTTTCCAACTCCATTTTATGTCCAAGAGAAAATGGAATTGTATTTCTCAGGATTTAATCCCAGTGGCAGATTGAGTACCTCGTCTCTCTCTTTCCTTATTCTCAAATCCTTTAAGTTGACAGAAAAAAAGATATTATAAAAAAGAAAATCCAGAACAGTACTAGAAAACAAGAAAAAATGCCAGGGGTGGGCCTCTATAATTGTGAAGAAATCCTGGAAGATAGAGAAGAAAAGGGAAAGAAATCTCCCATCCACGACATGCATGAGGGAAGGATACTGTAAAGAGCACAGAGCTAGAGAAAGTCAGAATGAACACATGACACGCTTAGAAGAGGAAGGGGCTCTGGAGTTACATTTAGGACGACTAATTATACAACAGCTTTCAGAACAGAACACTCCCTTGGTTCCTCACTCTTAAAAAAAGTGCTTTCTGTGATTGTTCAATTACAGTTGACATTCATTATTATATTAGTTTTCAGGGTTCAGTATAGTGATTAGATATTTATATAATTAATGAAGTGACCCCCCTCATTCCTTGTCTGTTATGATTTCTAGGGATGAAGCACAGAGAGGTTAAGTATCCTGCCCAAGGTATTCGGTGGCAAAGGAGAGCTCATCTGACCAAAGCCCCATTTCCCGCCGGCACCTGATGCCACATCTCATCTATGAGTGTTCAGATTTTTATTATGTGAAGAAGTCTTAAAAATGAGCAAATAAAAGACAAACATCCACGTAGAAAAAAAGCAAAAGACATAAACAGGCAATTATATAATTGTGCAACAAATATAATAAAAAACAGGGCAACTCACTAGTAGCCAGAACAGTGCAAATAAAGAGAACTTAATAACAAGTTTGCCTCTCAAACGGACCACGATAGAAAATAATAGCACCAATCACAGACTCTCCTGGTGGAAGCTGAAGGCTAACTTAGTAATCATGGCCAAATGTCCTAAATATGTGCTCCCTTGAGTCCCGATTCCACTTCTAGGAATTTATTTCAGGTAAATAATTATGGATATGTTTAAAGAAAAACTATAAGAAGTTTACAATACACCACGGAGGAAATGAAATGTACCCTCCTTATTTCCTCCTTTCTCCCCCCCTTCCCAACTACCCCGAGTCACTGGCACAGTGGGTAATTAATGAGTTGCAGGATCACAGAGCGTGGATGAGCACGGTGGCGAGCAAATCTTGTCTCACCCACAACAACAGGCCAGAATTTAGGGAAGAAAGAGTTGAGCTGTGTGTGTGCCGCCCTTCTGTCTGTCCCCCTGTTCAGTCGTCTCCTATTAAATCCCACACACTCCCTATCTCCCTGGAAAACACAGTTTTACAGAGAGTGAGCGCGCAGTTTCCGCAGTGGAGTTTCACCCTGCAGCTGCTGCCAGGAAATGAAACTTAAAAGCCCAGTCACCAAAAACGAACAAAGCAGCTAAGTGAAAAACCCACCTGGGTGCTGAGTTTTCCACCTGCGCCTTCCCGTCTGTGGTGCAGGGGCCAGCCAGAGGTCGCTCCTAGAAGACTGGAAGACAAGCAGGGAGATGCCAGCGGGTGAGGCAGGAAGTCTGTGCTTGGCACAGGCAGCAGGGAGGGCCTGGCTTCCCAGGAAAGAAAAGTGAAAGTATCGTGAGCCCTTGTGCAGGAAGCTGAAGGCTGAACTTGCAGCTTCACTCCACCCCCAGAAACTGGTGAGATTACGAGGGTACCTGGGGCTGCTGCTGGTGGTGGTGGGGTGTTCCCCATCCAGTCCAGTCTGGGAGGGGGAGCAGAGGGGAGGAGGTGTAGGGGTCCAACCCCAGGGTCCTGGGGATCTGAGAAGCCATGGGGGGGCGGTCTGCTTCCCTACCCACCTCTATTTCCCATGACTTGTCTTTCTCTACTTTTTGGGTAATGAAAATGTTCTACAACTGGATTGTGGTGATGGTGATAGTCACACAATTGAGTACATTTACTGGAAACCATCAAAGTTTAAAAAACAAACAAGAAATTAAAGGGGAAGTGAGGCAGCTCAGAAATGCTTATAGCACACTATCTAACGCTGAGCATTGGGGCTGTCCCCAGCCCCGTGTCCTAACATTGGCCCTACCTCCTCCAGTCCCAGGCTCCCTGCTCTGCTAGGCCAGCCGTCCGTTTTCTTTCTCAAGCCACCTCAGCAAGGGGAAGGGACAAATGCCAAGCACACTTAGTCCCCATACAAAGTTACTGCCTCACCTCAGAACGACTTTGATTCCTTTGAATTAGGCTCCCCTGCCTTCTTTCCTTTGGGTAAACAAGTGGCCCCCTGTCTTCCTCCTAGATCTGGCCATGCTCCTCCTCCCCGGAACTGAGGAACTGAGAACGCCCTCAGAGGTTGGGGGGAGGGACGGACGCGGCAGACAGGACAGACACTGATCGGCCTTTTCACTTTTCTTTTACCCTTTAGGTGCCGCGCCTGAAGGATCCTTCAATGGACTGCTGTTCTCCCTAGAGTTGTGGGAAGACAGTCAGGGAAAGCCTAAGGGAGGGCGATCCTAGGCCAGCGCCATGGCACAGTGGGGCCAGCAGATGGCAGGTGGAGACTGTGATTTCAACTGCAGGTCAGTCCTGGTGTCTTCTCCTGTCCTTCATTTCTGGTAAGGTGGGCATCTACTCTTGTTACTCTGTCTACCCAGCCTCATTCTACAGGTATGCAAGAGAAGGAGATAACAAATAAATACATAATGAGCACATTTGGTTTTTAAAATTAAAGTGGGAAAATTTAAGGCCACATAACTCACATATTTCCTTTTCTCGAATCCTGAACCCTCTCATTTTCCCCATGCCTCCTCTATCCCCACCCAAAGACAGCTCTGTCCAAAAAAGGTCTTTTTAGAAAAATTAACATCCCGGTCAAATGCCTGAGTGTTGTCAAACTTTTTCCAGTTTCCAGGTAGTTGGAAACCAGTTTTATTTGGAGCCCGAGAGTCGATCTAGTGCCTCTGAACATTGATAAGAGGAACTGAAAATAGGTGGTGCCCAACAGGGACTAATATAATCACGCGGGGAGCATGTGTTGCTTCTTTTTTTTTTTTAATTCTAGGATGTAATACCCATCTGGTTAGAGAAGGAAGCAAATATTCTTTTAAAATGCACGATTAAAAATAATTTGAAAAATGCAAGATAAATACATCAATATGTTCTTGTTGGTAAAAATTAAATGTATAATTTATGGAAACTCATGCAGTGTGGTGGGTCCTGAACACCGAGCACAATCTCTTCAGGCAGCAGAAAGCATGTCCTGATCACCACTCCTCCACCTGCTCCCATGACATTTGAAGATGAGTGAGTAGAGCTAGTAGTCCAGTCAACCTTTGGCGTTCAGGCAGGAAAAGAAAGGCACTGAGAAGTGAGGTCATGGGTAATGCTGGCCTCATAAAATCATTTAGGAGGTGTTGCCCTTACTTCCATTTTCTGGAAGAGATTGTAGTTGAAATGGTTTGGTGGAATTCACTAGTGATACCAAGTGGACCTGGTGCTTTCTTTTGGAGAGGGGCTATTAATTATTGATCCAATTCCTTTAACAGATATAGGCCTATTCAGAAGATCTATTTTTCCTGTTGAGTTTTGGTAGTGTGTGTCTTTTAAGGAATTTGTCCATTTCATTTTTTACCAAATTTGTAGACATAGTTGTCCATGTTATTTCTGAATTATCCTTTTAACATCCATGGGATGAATAGTGATTTATTTGTTTCTGTTATTAATAATTTGCCTTCTCTGTTTTTCTTTGTTAGCCTGGCTAGAAGTTTGTCAATTTTATTGAATTTTTTTCTAAAAAATTATCTTTTGGTTTTATTGATTTTCTTTAATGTTTTCCTGTTTTCAATTTGATTGAGTTCTATTGAAACTTTTATGATTCCATTTCTACTGCTTGCATTAAGCTTATATTTTACTTCCCCCCCTTTAGTTTCCTTAGGTGGTACATTTTAAGTTGTCCCAGAGGCTCCTTACACTGTCCTTATTTTTTTGGAATTTTTTTTTTCTTTTTGTTGTTCTGATTGGGTGTTTTTTGCTTCCTTATATTCCAAATCACTGTTTTAATTATTCACTTCATCTACTCTACTGTTGATTTCCTGTAACTTATTCTTCATTTCAGTTAATATATCTGTCATTTGTGATTGATTCTTTCTTATGGTTTGCATGTCCTTTTTTATGCTGTTGAAGTTCTTTCTAAGTTCATATACACTTTCCCTAAGATCATTGAGCATCCTTCTAACCAGTGTTTTGAACTCTGCATCTAGTATATTGCTTGCCTCCATTTTGTTTAGTACTTTTTCTGGAGTTTTGTTCTGTCCTTTCATTTTGGACGTGTTTCTTTGTGTCCTTATTTTAGCAGTCCTGTGTTGTTTCCATGTATTAGGTAGAGCTGCTACGTCTCCTGAGCTTGGTAGAGTGGCCTAATTTAGTAGGTGTCCTGTAGGGCCCAGGGACACAACCTCCTGGTTCACCCGAGCTGGGCCTCCAGGTGAACACAGCCCATTGTGGGCTGTGTACATTGTCCTGTTGTAGTTGAACCTTTATTGCTGTTGGTACGTCCATGAGAGAGATTTACCCCCAGGCTGATCGGTTTCAAGGACTGGCTACAACCATTTTGGATGATCAGCTGTGCAGGGCTCTGGTGCTTGCTGAATCCATCCCTTGAGTGTGTCAATAGTGGGTGGTAGTTCAATGTGGTTTGAAGCTGCTTACTGGATGTACTGGCTCTGGGGCTACCTGGCATAGCTACATAGAGGTCTGCAGATGGTTGCTAGTTGTGCTGGTCTTGGAGGTGCCCAGGAGAGACCAAGCTATGAACCAAAGCTGGCTGCCACTGGTGCTGGGCCTAGGGCTGTGGTCGGCAAACTGCGGCTTGCGAGCCACATGTGGCTCTTTGGCCCCTTGAGTGTGGCTCTTCCACAAAATACCACATGCGGGTGCGATTGAAACTTTGTAACCCATGCGCAGAAGTTGGTTTTTGGCCTGGGCAAGTCTATTTTGAAGAAGTACTATTGATATTTGACTCTGTTGACTAATGAGTTTGCCGACCACTGGCCTAGGCTACTTAACAAGAGGTACTGGGCACATGGAAGCCAGGTGCTGCTTGTTTGGGAAATTTTAAGAAAGTCTGAAGCATGAGCCAAGACAGGCCATTGGTATGGAAAAGCTCCTGGAAACAGCTTTGGTAGGCTCAGAAGTTGGGTAGGGCAGGATCTCAGGGAATCACCAGGATGGGGGGAATGATGACTGACAGCTCTGTGGGGTAGGTCTCAGAAAAAGTACCCACCTAATTATTATCTGCCACATGTGGATGGGACCAGCCCATTCTGCATTTCTGCCCTTCCTACTAGTTTCAATATGGCTTCTTCTTTAATTCCCTAGTTTAGGACTTCCATTTAGTTAGATTTCAGGTGGTTCTGAATGATGATTGTTCTGTATAGTTTAGTTGTAATTTTGATGTGGTTGTAAAAGGATGCTAGTACTGCGTACCAATGCCACCATCTTGACTGGAAGTCAATGCTACTTTTTAAATTGTATATACATTAAGGATTGCCATGAAATTCACCCCTTTATCCTATATAATAAAAGCCTAATATGCTAAGTGTCTGGTTGACTGGTTGGCTATTCAACCAATAAAAGTGTAATATGCCAATGATATGCTAAAGCCGCTCAACTGCTCACTCTGATGTGCACTTATCACTAGGGGGCAGACGCTTCAACCGGTAGGTTAGCTTGCTGCTGGGGTCTGGCTGATTGGGACTGAGGGAGATGGGCCAGACACGCCCTGGAGCCCTCCTGTAGTCCCTCCCCGGCTGGCCAACCTCCCGTGTGTCTCCCTGGCCCCGATCATGCACTGGTGGGGTCCCTCAGTCTGGCCTGGGCCTCTTGCAATCTGGGATCCCTCAGGGGATGTTGGAGAGCCAGTTTTGTCCATATCCCAAAGGCCAGGTTGAGGGACCCCACTAATGCTCGAATTCTTGCACCATGCCTCTAGTCCTAATATATAAAAAGCCAGGGAACGTCATGACTGAAACAACTGGACAGACAATCGAACAGCAGCCGCATGGGCGACCAGGCCGGCAGGGGGTTAGTGAGGGACGACCAAATGACTGAACAGCAGGCCACGTGGGGCGACCAGGCTGGCAGGGGGGAGGCAATTGGGTGTGACCAGGCCTGCAAGGGGGGAAGTTGGGGGCGAGCAGGCTGGCAGGCAGAGGTGGTTAGGGTTGATCAGGCTGGCAGGAGGGGGGCAGTTAGGGGTTATCAGGCAGGCAGGCAGGCAGGTGAGCAATTAGGAGCCAGCGGTCCTGGATTGTGAGAGGGATGTCCGACTGCCAGTTTAGGCCGTCGGACATCCCCAAGGGGTCCCAGATTTGAGAGGGTGCAGGCTGGGCTGAGAGGGACCCCCCCCCCCCACCCCTTGCACAAATTTTGTGCACCGGGCCTCTAGACATTATATAATGCCCTTCCTATCTCTGACAATTATACTTGTTCTGAAGTCTGCTTAGTCTGAAATTAATATAGCGCCTTTGATTAATGTTGGCATGGTATATCTTTTTTCATCCCTTCACTTTTAACCTATCTGTGTTTCTGTATTTAAAGTGACTTGCTTATTAACAGCATATAGTTGGATGTTGTCTTTTTTCTCTGTCAAAGTTTATGTTTTAATCACTATATTTAGACCATTCACATTTAAAGTGATTATTTATGTTGTTGAATTAATACCTATAATTTTATAACTGTTTCCTATTCATTGTATTTGTTTCTATTTGTTTTTCCCTTTTTTAGTTTTTGTTTTAATTGAGCATTTTATGATTCCACTTTCTCATCTTTCAGTATATCAATTATACTTCATTTAAAACATTTTTATTGCTTTCCCTAGAGTTTGCAATAAATATTTACAAGTAGCGATATCCATTTTAAGTACAGTGTACTGCTTCATGGTTAGTGCATGTCTCTTATAATAGGATGTAACAAATCTGTCCCTCCTGTCCTTTATAACACTACTACCAGTCATTTCACTTATTCATATGTTGTAATCACATAGTTAGATCAGTTTATAATAGGAAAAAAATTATTGTACCTACATTAATTTCTAAGTCTTTCTTTCTTTATGTAGATCTGAGTTTCTGATCCATATAATTTTTCTTCTGTCTATAGAACTTTTTAAAAAAATTTCTTTTTGGGTATTTCTTCAAGAAAGGAATTACCTCAGTGCTTGTTTGAGAAAATATTTATTTCTCTATTACTTTGAAGGTTAATTTCAAAGGATAAAAATTTTTAGATTGGTGTTGTTGTTTTTTTCATCACTTCAACTATTTCTTTTCACTTTCTTGCATGGCTTCTGATGAGAAATCTGATGTAAGTTTTATCCTTGTTCTTCCATAGATAAGATTTTTTTCTCCTCATCCTTTTGGATTCTTTTAATAATTTTCTTTGTCTTTGCCTTCTGCAGTTTGAATATGAAAAGATTTGGTATAGATTATTTGGCATTTATCCAGTTTGGTATTTACTGAGGTTCCTGACTCTGTGGTTTGTTGTCTATCATTAATTTTGAAAAAATTTGGCAATTACTACTTGAACCATTTCTTCTGATTTCTCTTTTATCCCCTAGTATCCA